CTCTTCCCAACTCTCGCACCACCACCTAGCTCACACCAATTCCTCTCTGTGTCTGCATTTCTTCATCACACCCCACTCCCTTCCCCTAAGGCAGATCTGTGTTCTCCTTAGCGTTTGGCGCCATGCCTGGCTTGTGTAAGGAGAGGCAGAGTAGCCAGGTAGGATGTGGTAAAGCTCCTGGGCTCTGGAGGCGGCAGACTGGGCAGTGGTTTCTAGAAGTATCGTATGGAGCTAGTAGCAACCGTCTGCTCTCCTCACAAGGTCATTGTGACAGTTGGCGGTTTCTGGTTTGTGATGCCCGTGGTTAAATATAGGCTCTCAACACAAGTTTGTCAGTTGAATGAATCAGTTCACTCTCACTTTTCCCCTCACTCTCCCTGATTTGGTGTTAACCTGACTCTGCCAACGTCTTCCTTTCTTATGCCTCACCATGAGAAGAGGAGAATAAGGCTGGCACACTTTCCATGGCCAGTTCTATAGCTTAGATTCTATCTATGTCCCACTTAAAATTCATGACATTGACCTGCACTCACTTCTGCATTCTGTTCTCTACCACTTCTGTGACCCGGTTTTACCTTGTTAGCTATGTGTGCATCTGGCTCACATTTTACTTTTCCACTCCACCCTGCTGCTCTCTCCAGCCCCCTTGTTGTTTGTGACCAGTTCGTATTCATGATCCATGATTAGACAATGTGACCTCCTGCTTTCTGGTCCTCTTTCAGGTTTAAACCAACTACCTCTGTTCCATGTTAGCCATATAAACAGCATTTCCTGCCCTAAATCTCATCATGACAAGGCACTGTTGACGTTCCAGGTCCTCTTCCCTCTGACTCCTTACCGCCGTTCCACTGATTCCCAAAGTATGGAATCCTGACCAACAAAAGCAGCTTCAGCATCACCTAAAAGCTTGTTAAACATGAGTATTTTTGGTCCCACCCGAAACCTACTGGGTCAGAAACTCTGGGGGTGGGGCCCAGCAATCTGTGTTTTAACTTCCCTCCATGGAATTGTGACGTCCACCAAAGTTTGAGAACCACTACCTCAAGCCATGTAGTCTCTTCTCCTGCATTCTGCCTTCCTCCTATTAATGCTTTACTAATTCTGGTAGGAAACATCTTATTATTGGAGGTCATTGTGTGCCGTTTTGAACATCATTATCACAGATAATTTTAGAAGATTGTGTAAAAATCAAAATAATTTCTAATGCTCAGCGAACTCTTTCTCATCCATGATAACAAGATATGGTGATGATCTAGAGAGATGAAGTTACAAATAATCCATGAGACTCATCTTATTCGGGAGGGTTAAATTTGTCCTAGGAAAAAAAAGGTTTTCTAATAATGCTAATAAAAAAATGCTGGTAAAGATGCTGTTAAATAGCGCTTGTAAATAGTAAAAAGACATAGAGAGTTAAATAGTCTTCAAATTAATCAAACTTGGAATTACCAAGCATCAGGAATTCCCAGCTAATTGATAAAGAGTATACGGGGTCCATCACATGAATGTTTCTACTTTGTGTATGTTTGAAAATGTCATAAGAATTTTAAACTAAAAGTTACTTAACGGTGGCAGCATCATTCTATCCCCATATTATATGAATCCAAATCAAGTGTTTTTCACTTTTGTCGCTACCAATCTTGGTCATAAATGGTACTAATAATGAATTTGTTGTGCCTATTGAATGTTTTTTGTTTATTTCTATTAGGTATGTATATACTTATATCTATGTATGTATGTATGTATGTAGATAGGTACGTAGGTAGGTAGGTAGATAGACAGACAGATAAAACATGGTTATCAATGTTAATGTTGAAGAAAAGACCCAAAGCTAAGAAATTTGTGTGGTCTGTACATTACGAGTGTGTAAATAGAAAAACCCTCTAGAAAAACCATTTCACAAGATCCAAGTATGTGTCACTAGACATTAAAATATTAATATACATAAATTTCATCTATTGGAATCTCTCCTACAGGGGGAGAATTCTAATTGCAGAAAAGATTTTGTACAAGAAGATGGTCAGCAGAAGCTTTTTTTTTTATAGTGAGAGAAGATCTGAGCTAACGTCCGGTGCCTAATCTTCCTGTATTTTGTGTGTGAGGATGCTGCCACAGCATGGCTTGATGAGTGGTGTGTAGGTCCATGCCTGGGATCCAAACCCATGAACCCCCAGGCCACCGAAGCAGAGTGCATGAACTTAACCACTATGCCCCTGGGCCAGCCCCAGAGCTTTAAACTTTGGAAATCCGTTTGTTTCTAACCATAGGGAGATAGCTAAAGAAATATCAGTTTATTTATCCAGTGTAATCATTATGAAATGAAATTATGCAAATTATAATGCTTATAATAGTAAAAAAAAAAATGACACAAAATTTGATACATAATATGGTAAACTGTGAGAAATATATACAGGAAAACAACTCTTTCTGTTAGCGTGGTGAGGTGATCAGGGTCTTATTTCTTTTTTCTCCGTGCTTATTTTTTCAATGGAAATATATATTTAGAAATTATGGCAGTGGAATTCTGAAGGTTGTTTCCCCTTCAAGGAGGTTTTGGCCTTGGCGACTTAGCAAAGGCACTTTGAATCCACAGGGAGCTGCTTTTTTCGAGAGTTAATGCATCCCAAGGCGTGCTTCTCTGTTATTCACCAAGCCTCTGGCACCAGCCTCTAGCCAGGTGCCTCGATGAAAGCCAGATGCATAGACAGAGTCTAAAGTAATCTCATTGCAGGTGCATCCTTTTATCCCAAGGTCGCTCCTGTGGTATTTATCTGTTAGAAAATACACCATATCGTTTGGTTGCATCTTCGCCCCAAAGAAGCAGGACTTGGCCATAGCGCTCAACCCCTCCTCCTCTGGTTGTCTTATCCAGGACCTTTATTACATTTAGAACATCAAAAAATCAAAGTGGCTTCAGGGCTAGCCGGATGGCGTAGCGGTTAAGTTTGTGCACTCCGCTTTGGCAGCCCGGGGTCTGCCAGTTCGGATCCCAGACATGGACCTACGCACCGCTCATCAGGCAATGCTGTGGTAGGCATCCCACATACAAAGTAAAGGAAGATGGGCACAGATGTTAGCTCAGGGCCAGTCTTCCTCAGCAAAAAAGAGGAGGATTGGTGACAGATGTTAACTCGGGGCTAATCTTCCTCAAAAAAAAAAAAGTGGTTTCCTGGAGACATATTAAACTGAATGGCAGCTGTGTCATTATTTCACCAACGGGGAACTTTCAGCAGAGCCTCTTCCCATGGCGTCAGTTTGAACATGCTAAATTGAGGCATATTAAGAGGACTGGGGACCATCCGTTGTGGGACAGTGATGCATTAACATACCTGCAGCCCTTCCCATCCTGAAGACTCTCGGTTGGTTCAGTAGTGTTCTTTCCAGAACATTGGCTTTAGAATCTGCACTGCTCTTCTCTTATTAATGAGGCATAGTAATCGTACTTTTAATCACAATTATAATTACTACTACCGTTTGGGGCATACAAAAAGGCCAAATCAAAAGAAGAAAAAACCTATAATCTTCAAGTGTCGATGCTTTATATTGTCTGCTTCAGATGATTTTTCACTATCTATTATATATATATATATATATATATATATATATACATATTTCTTTTTTGTTGTTGTTGTTGAGGAAGATTGGCCCTGAGCTAACATCTGTGCCAGTATTCCTCTATTTTGTATGTGGGATGCTGCCACAGCATGGCTTGACGAACAGTATGTAGGTCCACACCTGGGATCCAAACCCACGAACCCCAGGCCACCAAAACAGAACATGCAAACTTAACCAGTTCCCTACTGGGTTGACCCTATTATTTTTTTTTCTATGTTTATAGAAGAGTCAGGTCAAATATCGTATGTCCTTGAACCGTATGCTACCTAAAGCCTGTCGGTTTGTAGTTACTCTGTTGATCGTGCATTTCATCAGCCATTTCTAACTGGGGTGGGGGGCTGGCAGAGGATCCTTTGTCACCGCATATCAATCATTGAATATAAAATGAAAGCCTTGGGAGGAGCATAGCGAAAGGAAAGGATTATTTATCCAGGATTAACATTGGAGTCATTTTGCTGGTTCATTTCTACAAGTAAATCATCTTTCTTCCAGTTTTAAGGCCACCGATTGCTTTGCTAGTTCCTGTGTTTCTGACTAAGCATAACACAGAGTCTTTCATCTGGCTATTTATTCATCTTACGGGAACAGCTTTCAGTCCTCTTTAAAAATTAATTTGACTTTAATGTCTAGTTATCTAGACTCCCCTGGGCTAGGATGAAATCACACGGGGGGAATTTTGATTTGACAAATGGTCATTGTGCGGGAGCCTTTGATCCTCCACCATGGTGTTAACCAGCTGCCCCTTGTCTGGCTGAGCTTTAAGCAAGATCAAAGTCTGCTCCCCCACAAGGCGTGATCACTGGGGGGCAGCGGGAGAATTCTGGCACTTCCCCGCATCCCTGGGCTGCTGTGGCCCTTCCGCTGGAGCTTAGAGCCCTGCTAAGCATCTATCTACCCAGAGAAATTGGATGCCAGCAGAGGTGAAGAGAAGACAGACAGGGTGAGTTTTTCCTGGGACCTTGGAGTCCCACGCTTCTGGCACTTGTTGATAGGAAGCCCTTTGCTCCCTAGAGTAGGAATTCCTAATTCTGATTTTCCAGTCTCTGAGGCTTGCTCAATTTTTCCAAGTTTTCAAAAATTATGAAAAGTTCATTTTAACTCACTTTCATTTAAAAAAAAAAACATACAACATGTGGTATATTATAGTTAGAAAGAAGGAGAGAAAACAGACAATTTGCTAAAGATCTTTGGCAACTGTTGCCCTCGTGGTTAGACGCCACATGTCTAAAAATGAGATAAATGTCTTAAAAGCAAAAGAACGAGTGTAGACTTCACATACTCCCCTTGATAAAGATTGTTCAAAAACATCCAGCCTCAGTGAGCTGGCTGTACATGTCCCCCTCCCCAGGAAGGCAGGCGCTGTCTAACTCTGCAATCTCTTTCTTCAGATGGGGAGCTCTCCATATCGAATGAAGATGACTCCTTGGAAAACGGGCAGTCTCTAAGCGCCAGCCAGCTGTCTCTGCCTGCCCTGTCCGAAATGGAGCCAGTTCCGATGCCCAGGGATCCCTGCTCCTATGAGGTGCTCCAACCTTCAGACATCATGGATGGGACAGGTAATGCCACTGGCAGAGCTGTAGAACAGGTCTCCAGCATGTGGCTTTAGGGACCTTTGTCCTGGCTGCACTTGAGGTTCTATTTTGACCCACTCTCAGCGTAAGAATCTCCTGGAAATCAGGGCAAAACTGACCAATTAGTACATACTGGGTATAAAAACAAGGAGGATATTTACACTTATTTTTCTATAGTTTTTAAAGACTTTTTTATAACCTTATCTCTTTAAAGAAGATATGCCTTGTTTTTGTACTATTGATGATTTAAAAGTGTCATTGTTTTGTTTTCTAACACTCATTTCTGTTAAGATCAAGGTGAAGAATCCTACGTGTCTATGTGGTACCTATCCAGTTCACCTGTTCATAAGGCCCTGGCGTGCCCTTTAATCTGAGTCCCAGGATACCAGTTAATAGTTGTATCAATTTACCAATTATATCAATTTACTGTTACAATCAATTAATGTGTTCATTGGCTATTAAATTGTATACAATTTACTGATTAACTTGTATCCTGCTGACAGATGATTTTTGATGCCATCTGACTGTCACTCCCTCTTTGGTCCACAGCCCTCTGAGTGGCCAGTATTCCCTCAGAAGACTTGCAGGGTGGTCCTCATTAGCCTGAAGATAGGACCCTCCCATGGCCAGTGAAGAGTGGTCCTTGTTGTCAGGAGACGAGCCTGGGGGAAGGGACCTCTTGGAATCTCTGGCATGTGGATGGAAAGGCCACGTCCTTTCTCCACACCGTGTGCAAAATCTACATCAGCAGAACACGGGTGGGAGGGTGGGAGAGATGACGTTTCACCAAGTCAATTCCCATGTTTCACTTTGGGACCTGGTGAGTCATTGCTCCATCAGTGTGTCCAACACTGATAATAATAGTGTCCCTTGAGACGGGGGAGAATTTAGTGCTCATGAGGATTATTTGCAGGCTTTGATGCTGCAGGGAACACTGCTACCCAGATTAGAGGGGAAGAGAGGGCAGGGAAGGAGTCATTTATAGGCATTCTTAGTAGCAGTGATGGGAGGAAGGAGCATATGCAAGTGAGTTACATTCCCCCCGCCCCACCACCAAGCTGGGAAGACTTTTCCAACTAAAGCCGTGAATTGTGTTTTGTATCCAGCCTTCCTGGTGACGTTGGAATCAGATGGATTCGATTGTTAGAGTGAGATCTGTCATCCCAGTGAATCATAGAGTGCCAGTTTGTCATTGGCCAAGCTGCCAGCATGGAAGGAAGGCCTGTGCTACTACCTGTAACAGCTCTTAACTGGAGCCAGTTGGGGTTCCCCGTGGGGAAGAGAAGAGTCAGGCTCAGTGCAGAGAAAGAGAAATGGGGGAATCGAAACAGGAAAACCATAATTCTGGTGAGTGAGAGGAAAGAGGAAGGGGGAAGACAAAAAGGTGTCGAGTTGGAGCATCCTTCACCTTGTCAGGGATTATAGGAGCCAGCAGGGGCAGGAAGATGCCCCTAAAACTGCAGGGTGCCCACAGGAGGCTGCTGCCCAGCTCTGGCGGCTCCCAAACATAGAGGAGCAGCCCCCCCGGGCATGTAGGGGTAACTCATCTGGTGTCTAGGCTGTCTTCATTACTCAGTCCCAGATCTGGGAGCAGAGACACAGTGAGACCCAGCGGGCAAAAACAAGATCCCGGAATCCACTCTCTCTTCTTCCTAGCAAAGGGCAACCAGGCCCAAAGGAACATGCCAGCGATTGGTGCTCTTTGTCCCTGATCCACTACACCTGCCATCCGTGGATTGCTGCTGTGGTCCCATGGGTCACATTTAAGAGCACCCATGGAATTTGTATTATCAATGCCGAGATCGAAGCGGTGGCGCTTTGGATGGTTTTGAGAAAATGTCCTCTTCCTTTTTCTCCCTCTTGCTGCTTCTGCCTCTCCCTTTTCTGCCTCTGGCTCCCCACTGTGTCCCTCCACCCCCACCGCCCTGCTTTATTGGATTTCTGGTGTCCCCTCTTTTAACTCTCCACTCACACATGACAACCTGGAACAGCTGGTGCTCTGCGGTGTTGCTGCCCCACGTCCCTGTGCTGTGTGTTCCCGCCGGCCCCACCTGCACTGCGTTGGTGTAATGTCTCCTGTGTGTCATGTGGTTGTCCCCTCAGTGTCTGAAGAGAGTCCCTCTGCCAGTGAGTCTGGAGTCCTCCTGTCCCAAGATCCTTCAGCCAAACCAGTCCTGCTCCTGCCCCCAAAAAAACCTGCTGCTTTCTCTGGAGACCATGAAGAGACCCCAGTGAAGCAGCTGTCCCTTCTCAAGCAACCCCCTGCCCTGCCTCCCAAACCCACTGCCAGGATTGCCAACCACTTAACAGGTGAGTCAAGACGTCTTCTGGGGGCATGCAGCCCTGCCTTCCCTTCCCTTCAAGGGATGATCTCTTGCTTTTTTTCTTTTTATCTGAGGCCTGACGCACCTCTTTGGCGAGGTTGCTCTGTGGGACGTTTGGGTGTTTCCGTGTGTGTCTTGGTACCTGCAGTCATGACCTGGGTTTATGTGTTTGTGTCCAGAAGCGTTCAAGGTACACCTACCAGTCGTATGCCAAGAGCCTTCAGTTGTGTGTATCTGCAAATATGTGCATTGGTATTTATGTGACTGATTCCGGATTATTTGCCCATCTAGGTGAATCACATTCAATGTCAAAATCTTTGCAAAGATAAAGAGTAGTACATTGTTCCTTTCGTAATGAATTTGTCAAAGCTTTACATTTTTTGTCTTTAAATTATTGCTCTGAAGCCCAGTGTATTTCTTCTATTAAAAAAAAAGCAAAGAAAATCTGCAGAGTATTGTGGGAAATACTTTAAAAGCAGAATAAGCCTAGGACTGCTGTCCTAAAATGATTTTTATTTTTAAAATGTTATTTAATGAATGGACCTACGGTTATTAAATTGAGCATCTAGTGGAAAAGCACTTCACTGCACATTAGCCTGTGAATCGGACCCCACTTTGTGGTTTAAGTTTGTGGTTTAATCAGAGATTAAAGATTTCAGAGGGTTGTTTCTCCAGCCTCGATAGTATCCCCACCTGATACTACCAACTGCCTTTTTACAGTGTGTTTGGTATTTTTATAAATAGCTTCAAATTGATCTCTGTACATTTTTGTAAGATGTAATGGGGCTGGAGGTAGGGAAGAGTACGCAGCTATTTTATAGTAGAAAACGGGTTCAAGAAAAGTCAGTGACTTTCCCAGGGCTGGCAGGAATTCTGCACTGGAGCCACGAATAGATCCTGCGTTCCCAACTCCTGGTTCAGTGAACATTGTTTCCATGAGAGGAGGAAGTCTCTCACGTGGTGCTGGGTTTTATTAGAGTCCAACCTAAACAGGGTTGCGTCAAACCCTTCTATCAAGGTATGCGCCCATGAAAGTCAGATGTATGTGTTTCAGAAGAGCAAATTCCATCGAAAGGAACCATTCAACACGTTAATAACACTTTAGTTCAGTGCCCCCAAATTTAAATGCATCTACAAAGGAGAAAATGCTGTTGTAAACCTCCCTCTACGAGATTACCACTGTCCATCTGTCCATCTGTCTATCTAATAAAAATCAAATACTGCTGTATAGATTCTGTATCACTCAGCAATATCTCATGAACGGATTCTCATGTTAGCAAATATTCCACAACACAGTCTTGTCAGCTGCCTGGTGTCGATCAGGATTACTCGATTGACCCCTTAGGGGTTTTTCATCTTCTCTGTTGTAAAAAACACAACAGCGAACATCTTCAGCAGCTTACATGTATATAAGCATCTCTGAGTTTTCCATAATTTATTTCTGGAATTAGCAGTTAGAATTAGCAATTCTAATTCTAGAAATAAGTTACGTACCTTATCTAGAAATAAGTTTATGTTACTTTTAAGAGCTTTACACCTTTTAAGGCTTTGCTGCCGAATTTCCATTGAGAAAGATTAAATATTGCAAAATAAACGTCCACATGTAATACGTATTTATTCAGCACACCTACTTTAGGCAGAATACTGTGCTGGGTCTCAAAGCAGATACAAGTATATGACAGTTTAATGAGTGTGTGTGTGTGTGTGTATATACACATACATACATATATATTTGTGGTTATAAAATAAAATGTGAAAATAGCTACTGTCAGGAGTAATACTTGCAGTTCAGTGCAATCTGATAAAAGAATTACTGGAGAGGGCTGAAGCTTGAGCTGATCCTTAAAGCGTGAAGGGCATTTATGGAGAATGAGGGAAGAACATTCCAGAAAAGAAGACCCCAGACAGAGGCTCAGAGGAGGAGGCAGTGTTTCGGGTGGGAGGCGAGGTGGCCAAGCTGGGGTGGAGGGTCTGTCTTGGGATGTGTTGAGAGAGAGGCTCATTAGGTAAGGCATGTGAGGATTTAGATTTTATTCCTGCAGCTGTGGAAAGCCTTTGGAGGTTTTTGAGCAGAGGAGTGATGTGATGAAAACCAGCCTTTAAAAAATTTTCCCTGGTCACTGTAGAATGAACAGAAAGAGGAGAAGGTGGAAGGCCTAACCGAGAAGCCACTGATGCCAGCCCCATGCCTGATTCTCCCAAATCGCTTGTTGAATGAAATTGAATGATTTGAGCCAAGGCCACTATTTAAGAGCCTACTTAGGTAGAAATCTGTGCTAACAAGCATGTGGCTGATAGCAGTGGGGAGAGAGAGAACAGAACAATAGATAAGACATTTTAAAAGAAGAATTGACAGAACTTCTCAAACCACCCTCTAATTTATCTAGTTATCTAATTAATGAAGGCATACTTCATTCATTCATAGCTTCAGCTATGAGCCCTGAACTTGAGTAGCTTGGTATCCGCAGGACTCTTTTGATGTATGAGGGACTGCAGATATCTAAATTGGACCAATCTTTCTGGCTTCCCTCATCCTTTCCCATGGACCGTGGACTTTTTCTATTATCTGTAAACCGCACCTCTATACCTGGGATCAAATGGATAAAAATACATAAAAGCTAACAATCCTTACCATATTGTACCTGGTAGCCTCTTAAATCTGATGAAGACAAGATAGGTGGAGATGTCTATATGCTGTAAATCTGGTGCTTTTTGGGTTAAAGTCACTTAGACTTGCTTAATTTTTGTAAATGAGTGTCAGTCATAACGAATCACCATGAGGCAGCTACATTAACCCTGTTCTGTTACTAATTACTCTAGAGACTTCTGTGCCATGTCAGAAAGAATTAATAAACTAAGAATTCTAGAACTCTAAATTGAGACATGAGTTTTAACATGTTCTCAACGTCTGTTGTTCTGTCGACATGTTTGAAAGGAAACACAAGACAATTTGAAAGACACCAAGCATGATGAATAGAGTCACAGTGGTTCTTGGTCTGGTAGGATGCTGGGCGAAGCATAAGCCTGAACTTCTTCCAGGTACACCATCAGGGAAAGACGTACAGAACTCTCTCTACTTTGGCATTTGTTTCCACTTTATCAGGAAACCATAGTTAACTTGGAGACTATTTTTCTTACACATTTTCTCTGTTCTTCAGCCAGGGAGAGAGAAACTCTTGCTCTCCCAAACTGTTTTTCTTCTTCTCCCACTGTCATCCTCTTTCGTCTCTTCTGCAACGTCAGCATGCACAGTGGCGTGTAATACAGGGTCAGGGGTTTGCGGCATCAGATTCCCTTCTATTCCTACAGCAGAGCTGGTTGCATAAGTATGATTGGAGATGAATGATTCTCAAAATGCATCCTTCTTGGAATGATGGCTGACCCCAGAGGAAGGGGGTGATGGAGGCAAAAAACCACGGTCTCCTCCTTTCTAAGTCTTCATCAATCACCTCTCCAGCCATCCTGGCTCCAGAAGTCAAATGTTGGACGTTGCATGAATAATCCATGCCTTCTGCATAAGGTATTTGTGGTTAGGCACCCCATAAGTGCCATTTGGAGGAAGGATAATCACCTTTGTGATAGTTGGACTTTACAGTCCGACGTTCACACTTGGGTATGAATGATGGCAGCTACCATTTTTTGAAAACTTTATGACATACCTTTAGTCCTGTGAGGTAGACACTATTATCATTATTCTCTCTTTTTCCTAGAAGAGGAAAAAGAAATTTAGAGAAGTTAAATGACTTGGTCATGGTTACCTAGCTAGTAAGGGGCAGAGATGGACTCAACCCATTTTGTTGGACTCCAGAGTCCTCACTTATAACCATTAATTTACACCGTCTCTACCAAGATACCTATTCTTAAAATTCTAAGAAATGAAATCATTAGTTTTCACTGGTGTTTTGTTTTGTTTTGTGTTTTGTTTTTTGCTTTGTGTGTTTTAATCTGTTGAAGAAATTAGAAAATCTGCTTCTTTAACTTTATAACTCAAAGACAAAAAATGGTCCAGTCTTTCAAAATTAAGTAATGTTCTCAAGGCACTTGATTCTAAAGAGGAGGACCCAAGTACGTTTGGGTTGGGTATCCATGGACAAAGGGCATGCCAGAAGGACAGAGTGTGTAAGAATCAAGACTGGGACAAATCACATGGGAAGCATTTGACTACAATTGGAGACTAACAATTTGGCAAAGAAAGGAAACTGTTGCTGATCCTTAAAAACAAGTCCTTCTGCTGCTGTGAACCTGCCCAGGGCTTATTTGCACTATCTTTAGAACCTGAAATACAAGGAAACTTACTGTACTGTCAGAACTTGGTTGATTGCTAGTTTCAACATTGCAAAGTATTTGCAACTGCAATTACCTGAAAAATGGTATCCATGCCCTGTGGTATTTTTCAGTCCCAGCACGTGTCCAGTAAGAATCCTCTATCCAGTGCCTGTCAAGCCAAAACCAGTATTCCTACTTATAGCTGTCTCTCTCGTCTTGTGGGCATTGTCTACATTGAACTACAGTCACTTTCTGATGTGTGATTTCATTATGTTTCTCTGTTGCTCTCTGATCGTCTGTCTCCATTTCTCCCCAATATCCCACGCCCCCTCCTTGTTCTCCTCTTTCAGCCTTCTCTCCAGCCCTGCAAAATCTTCTAACTACTTTTGCCTCTGCCCTGGCACTCCCTCTTGCCTCTGACAGGGCAAGAAAACTGGTGACCAGACTGCTGTGACCTTGATCTCATCTGTGCCTCTAAAGGGAAAAAATTATTTGTAACCCAGAAGCCTCATAAAGAGGTTTAAGGTTCACACTCTCTTGATAACTCATACCTTGAAGGAATGGGAAATTTACCTGAATCTACTCTTTATACCCATTTGTCCGTATTTTTCCAGTTTTGATTTTCTTTTCTCAAAATGCAGAAATTCTTTTCTTAGTGCAGGTAAGAACTATCCATTGATCAAAACATTTTTAAGAGTGCTTTCTGCTCTGACCTCTATG